TAGGGAAGGTATTAAGCACCTCGACGACGCCCTTAATCGGTACCCTATGATGAAGTTAGCATTATAAATGATAATAATAGAAATATTAAATCCCCTTTTATTAATAATTATTTACATACTTGAAATTTAAATAATATAATTAACCCTAAAATGTCTACATGATTGTTTATATTATAACAATAATTATTATAGATAAGAAATTAAAAAAAGAAAGAAATTAACTGAAATACCTCTTGAATGAGCTCTATTGGATCTTCAAAATAGGGAGATTTTAGGTGCTTTGTGGCAACCTTTCGCACTACAATTGCCTCACAATACTCAAGGAATACAATAGGAGAGAGAGAGAGAAAAAAAGAGAAATTTTGAGCTCTAAGGAGTGCTGGACGAAATTTTTCGGGGTCTTGAGAACTGTGCCGAAGATTTCTATTTATAGCCATCAAATTTGGGCTGGAACGACCCGTTCTGGATTCGAAATGGCCCGTTTCGGATCCGGACATTATGTGCTAATTTTGCACCCTAGAACGACCCGTTCTAAAAATCAAAATGGCCCGTCAAGAAACTAGAACGGCCCGTTCTGAAATGAGAACGGCCCGTTCTGGGGCACAAATTAGCACTAATATCCCTTCCTAGAACGGCCCGTTCCAAACTAGGTTTGTTAGGCCTTTTTAACCTTTTGGAACGGCCCGTTCTGGTTTAGGAACGGCCTGTTCCAGACCAAGTTTTTAGGCCCTTTGATTGGTTTTGAACGGCCCGTTCTGGTCTGGAACGACCCGTTCCAACCTACAATTTTTAGGCCTTTTAGGAGTCTCAAAATGGCCCATTCCAATTCAGGAACGGCCCGTCCGGACTTGGGAACGACCCGTTTTGATTTTGGAATGACCCATTCTAGGCCACTAAAAATAGTTGATTTGGGCTTTTGGGCCCTCTGATGTCCTATCTTGTTGTTTGTATGCCCCTGGATGAAATTGGGTGTCTACAGCTGCCCCTCTTTACTTGTCCTTTGTAATAGCTGTGTTGCTTTTCCAAAGGCAAGTAAAGACTTAGACATTTCGTCCGGGTCTTCTTCTCGTCTCTATGTTGATGCTTCTATGTTGCTTCCCTTGGGTAGGTGTATTTGCTCGTATCCTCACCCTTTAGAGCAGTTGAGCATTGATTGCGTACTCTATTGGGTAACAAGGTTGACAAACTGTACACCTGATCTTCAGTCTTCGAGTAGAAGCTCCATTATTTCTCTTGTGATAATGTGTCCCTTTATTTGTAGCTTGTTTAAGAAGGAGTATTATTATGGCTAGCCTCTCCAGGCTGCCTACTGAACGGTGAGTATTATTATGCCTGGCCTCTCCAGGTTGCCTGCGGAATGTTGAGGATTATTATGCCTGGCCTCTCCAGGCTTCCTACTGAATGCTGAGTATTATTATGCCTGGCCTCTCCAAGCTGCCTACTGATGCTGATGATGTGATTGCCCCTTTTCTATGGGAGGATGTCTAATGAAGACGAGGATGGGCAAAGGAGTAAATGATGAGTATTATTATGCTTGGCCTCTCCAGGCTGCCTGCTGATTCTGATGATGTGATTGCCTCTTTTCTATGAGAAGACGTTTGATGAAGACGAAGGTTGCTGGTAGGTGGTGGGAAAAGGAGTAAATGATGAGTATTATTATGCCTGGCCTCTCCAAGCTGCCTGCTAATGATGATGATGTGATTACCCCTGTTCTATGGGAGGGCGTCTGATGAAGATGAGGATTCCTGGTAGGTGGTGCCCTTGTGATGGTGGGCAAAGGAGTACCTGCTGAGTATTATTATGCTTGGCCTCTCCAGGCTGCCTGCTTATGATGATGATGTGATTGCCCCTTTTCTTTGGGAGGATGTCTGATGAAGACGAGGATTAATGGTAGGTGGTGCCTTTATGATGGTGGGCAAAGGAGTTGATGGGTGACAGGGATTCTAGTGTTGCCCCTGCCATGTGAGTATTGTGATGCCTCTCCAGGCGCAATGTTGAGTCCTTTCGATGATTGATTGTTTGATTGTTGATGGATGGTTGTGGAAGGAAAGATTGCCGCTAGGTGGATGGGCAGGAGATGTTTGTTGTGCCCCTGTGTTGGTGGGCAGAGAAGTGGATGGCTGGGAGGGATTTCAGTGTTGCCCCTGCCACATGAGTATTGTGATGCCTCTCCAGGTGTCTGTTGTGGAGTCCCTTTGGTTCATTGATGATTGATTGTTTATGCTTTCCTGATTGATGATTGTTGATGCCCCTAGTTTGGGCTTCTTTTGCCTTTTTTTTTTCAAGATTTAAAAAAAATGTTGGATGCTTATTCATGCAGGATTTTTAATTATTTTGAATAATCCCTCTTGGATAAAGAAAACTTTCTAAGTGTGTGAAATGATTTTGGATGCGTGTAATGCATGTTTTGATTTTTGTTTTTTTTCTTTCTTTTTTTTTAGAAGGTGGCTCTCCTTTTTCTCCTTCTCACGAAGAGACTGCTTCGATCG